GAACTCGGAAAGGCGAAAACCGCTTTGAACTCCCGTTGTGTACACGACTAAACCGGAAAAGGTAATCAACGTGTTTATTTTGTTTAAAAGGAATTATCATCATAGTGACGATGAGGCCTGGGTAGGGGTGCGGTTGGTTCGACCTTGAGAGGAGATCTAAGCACGACGACGCAGTGCAGTAAACCGCAGCAGCAGCAGCAAGGCGAACCGGAGGCGACCCGGCAGCGAGCGGACACACCGGCCCGCCCAGCCCCACCCCCACTACGGTTACGGTAAGTCAGCGCGTTCGCCGGGGCCTGAGCCCCGTGGGCTCGGGAGAGCCTCCAGAGAGCCTCCGCGGAGGTGCGCGGGCGGGCCGAGGGGCGGGCGCGCACTTTGCACACACTGCCCCCTATAAATTGGCCCTGATTACGCGGCCCCTCCGCACCGAGGACGACGCGCCGCTCCGCTTCCTTCCTCCAGTTAGTGCGGCGCTCCCTGCTCGCCTCCCATTTCCGCCTGGCCTGGCCCGGCCGCCGCCGCCGGTTTGTTTTTCTCCTTGTTGTTTTTTTACATTCCCTCCTGTTGCCTTTTCAGGAGGAGGAGGAGGACGCCGTGGAGTGGGTGGGAGTGAGCGGGCGCGGGAAGTGTAGCGAACACCTTGTCCTAGCCGCGGTGGGGCGGGGCGGGGGCACCGCCCTACATGTTCCCACAGTGCAGGCCTGGGGGGCCCCGTCAAGGGAGGGGCAGCGCCTGGCAGCGCCACCGCGCGCGCGCCCGGCTCATATGGTTCAACCTGCGCCTGCTTCCCACAGCCGCCGCCCCACGGCCCACGCACAGCCACTTAGGCCCCTCTAAAACAAGAACACGACTGAATACATCAAATAATTATTATTTGACGGCACCTGCCTGTCGCGCGCTACCCCAAGGCTTCTTCTTAATTGGTCCCTCGACAAAGTGGTAAATTTGGCAAAACTTAAACGGTTTTCTTCTTCCGCACAACGCTAAACGTGCGAGGAAGGAAGCGCCAAGTCGTTTAGGGTCTTGTGCAGTTAACGTCCTGGCGGCGTTGGCTCCGCGGCGGCTCCACCAAGCCTCGCTCGCTACGACCTCCGCGTCCCGTCCGCGGCGGACTCCTCCGGCACGGCATGCCGATCCTACTCCAGTTTCCTGTCGCCGTTCCCTTGCAAGGCGAGCAGCGGGGTACATCATAGAGAAGAGGCGACCGCTACTCGCGGAGCTACTCGCGGAGCGGATGCGGACGGGGCGAGGCCGTGACGAGCCTGCCGCGCATGAGGCGGTGGTCCCGCCCCCGACCCCGACCTAGCCCACGGCGCCGCAGCCACCGAGCTACGCGGCAGACTGTTGTTCGAAACCTTACAACCAAATAAAGCGCGAGCTAAAAATTCGAACAACGATACGCATGGCAGGGAGGGCGACAAGCAACACGCGCTGCTAAAAACGCCTGGTGGTTGGCAGGCCCGCGGCACACACGAGCAGATCAGGGTTGCCTATCCCCCGATCGTCGGGCGCTCTGGCGCCTGGAGGCAGGCAGTCCTGCTATACACAGGAGCAGGGCGGTGTTGCCTATCCCCCGCTCGTCGGGCGCTGGCGCCCAGAAGTAGGCAGTCCCGTTGCACACCCGAGCGTAGCGGGGTTGCCTATCCACCGATCCGCGGGCGTTTGGGCAGCGCGGGGTATTGGAGATGTTAAGCAGAGATACGTCAGAGAAGCACTCAAAATTTGAAAAAAAAACGTGGAATAAGGGAAAGGCAGCGAATGACCGCAATGTGGTCACACCACACTGAACGCATTAAGCTTCCTTTCCTTCAACAGACGGACAGCGAGTCAAAACAGAAAGCTACGAGTAGGAAGGGCTACACCTTCCCCCTTCTCTATTTCTCCCTCCCTCCCTCTCTCCCTTCAGCTACGGACTATACACACACTCACGGGGGAAACTCCAAAACATGGGAAGGCTCTCCTCTGAGGAGAAAGCAA